AGTTTTTCAGGGGGAAAAAAAAAATTCTAAATGCCTTCAAACTTCCATTTTCATCTGTTCTGTGCTGCATTTGTATTTTCACATGGCGTCTTGTTCTTGAGTTTCGAAAATACGTACTTAATGAACCTTTCTTCTGCACTGGCTACGTAGGCAAAGGGTAAATTAGAATAAAATACCATGATTTTTCTCTTTATGCTTTTCTTTGTGAAAAGTTCTATTAATTCTTGTAAGTTGTTGCTCGAAGGTCTCTGCAGTAGAAAAAAGCCTATGGGTTGAAAATCTTTAGGGCTTTTATTTTGTTCCTTTCTCACCACGTTGCTTTACTATGTGTATTTTGCATTTCCACAGCACTTTGGAGGTTTAGTCAAGGATCAGTCCACACTGTGCAAAGTATCCTGTAGATATAGGAAACCCCTCGCAGTTCTTGGGAAAGAAAAATATTTATTTTCTGTGTTGAATGATGTATCCATTTTTTCCTGTTTGATTTGAATAGGCATTTTCTGAAATGAGGAAAAGATGATTTTTTTAAAAAAAGAAATATGTGATAGCAAGATGGCAGAAAGACACCATGAAAATCTATGTTAGATCTTTTACATTGCAGTGCACTAGAGTTTTTTTTTTTACTATCAGGCCTGAGACTGTTGTAGAAAAACTAATAGGTGTGCATTGTCACATGCTTAACTAATGATTTCAGGCATTTTTGCAAACATTCAGTTTTTAAACCTCAAAATTCCTGTGGTCCAGGATGTGTTCTCTGTTCAGTGGAAGTTCATTTTAATAATACCTTCTGCAGCGTCTTGTGTGGAAAATGTTCTGTGAGTATAAAGTGGTACTTTTAATGTGGCAGTTCTAACGTTGGATTCTAGCATTTATGGAAAATTGCCATTCTTCATTTTTACAAAATCAGTTTTTCTTACATATAAAATTAATTTTTTTTAATAAAATCCTCTAAGTGTTGTGAGTTGAATACAAATTATGGGAAGGAGCAAGGCTACTTAAATGTTAAAAAATGTGTTGTGACTTTAGTTTAACAGCCTCTTTTTTTCCTCAAAGGGAATAATATTGCCAAAGCAATTGGATGTCACTCTCTCTTTTGAAGCCAACTGAAAAATAAAAATAGAGGTGATTTTTACTTTGCTGCTCTGTTTAAATCTAGCCTGTTCTTTGAGAGAAATACTTATGCAGAAATGGGAAAGGGGAAAACACTGCCTGGGCAGAGTTTGATAAGAAGCATTAAAACAACCTTTGCCTTTGGGTGCTTTGGTGTAATGAAAGGATCTCAGGATCTCAGCCCCTGTTCTGGGGAAATGTCATTGCCTGGTAATCTAAGGATCCATCATCTCACCTAGTCACCAACAGGTTTGTAGAGATGACCAGGAGAGAGATCACTGAAGGAGTTAAGTTGTGACTGGCACAGACAACATCAAAAAGGTCTATTAGTTGAAAAGCTTTCCACAATTTATCTCTAAGACATGTGGTTTTGGTTTAGTTTTATAAATGACAGTTGTAACAGACATACTAGGGTTGAATGTAGTTCTACCATGCAGAGTCTTGCATAAATAGAGGTAACAAAGTCTGAAAGGAATAAACAGTGTGGTGTCAGATAGAGGGGACATTGTCGTACATCTGCAGCCACCTGAGCAATAAGGGTGAGCAGCTTCATGGTGTTACTGCACTGCATCTTTTAAAACCTACAGGAATGCTGGGTTTTGGGGGTCTTTTTTAAGTCACAATTTTCATTTTTCAGGGCCAAAAATATGCATCCATTTGAAAAGTGGTAGTTACAGAAGAATGCCAATTTCTTTACTCAAATTTGCATTGGACAATAGCTGTATGAACTTAATGCAGTGCTGTGCTGGCAACAGTAGTTGCAGTAATGTTTGCTCTGTGTTATTTTTGTAAATGGAAAAAAAATTCATGTCTCAGTTTATTCCTCTTATTATACACACATTGGCTTATTGCAGCATAACATGGAAAGATACAGTGATGATTTATGTTGTGTGCTTTTTTTTCTCTGGCATGAATCTTCATATTAAAGAAGCTACTAGTGAGTGTAGAAGATATACTGTAATATTACTGTATGGGTTAATGGGTGCTGTAGTGATGTTCACCTAATCTGTTTTAGGGTGGGATTTTTTTTTTTCCCCCTTGTTTTGGTTTTCTTTGATCACTAAGCACCTGGATGGTATTCTAGAAACTGGTCTCATGCGTGGTGTCAATCAGTGTGTACACATCAACTTAAGCACTAATACTAAATGCAAGATTAAATACATTTGGTTTTGTCCATGTAGCTTGTAAAATGCGTGTAGGTTCTATTCTGTAAAAACAAAATATTTGAAAAGAACTACAAACAAAAGAATATGGTCTTGGAAGAAAGGTATACGTACATGAGTGAACGTATTATATCATAGAATGGTTTGGGTTGGAAGGGACCTTAAAGACCATCTAGTTCCAGCCCCCTTTCCACAGGCAGGGACACCTTCCACCAGACCAGGTTGCTCAAAGCCCCATCCAACCTGACCTTCAACACTTCCAGGGATGGGGCATTCACAGCTTCTCTGGGCAACCTGCCTCACCACCCTCAACATGAAGAATTTCTCCCTTATATCTCATCTAAATCTTCCCTCTTCCAGTTTAAATCCATTGCCCCTTGTCCTATTACTGCATGCCCTTGTAAAAAGTTCCTCCTCAGCTTTCTTGTAGGCCTCTTTTAGGTACTGGAAGGCCACTCGAAGGTGTCCCCAGAGCCTTCTCTTCTCCAGGCTGACCAACCCCAACTCTCTGTCTGTCTTCACAGGAGAGGTGCTCCAGCCCTCAGATCATCTTTGTGGCCTCCTCTGGACTCGCTCCAACAGGTCCATGTTCTTCTTGTGTTGGGGCCCCAGAGCTGAAGGCAGTACTGCAGGGGGGGTCTCACACAGTGGAGTAGAGGGGGAGAATCCCCTCCCTCGACCTGCTGGTCACGCTGCTTTGGATGCAGCACAGGATAGGGTTGGCTTTCTGGGCTGCAAGTGCACATTGTCAGGTCATGGTGAGCTTCTCGTCAGCCAAGTGATTGTATGTACTTTGTCACCTCTTGAAGAATGCCCATTAATATAAAATCTTTTTAATCTTTACCATTACTGCTTAATCTGTCTTAATAGTTCTTTTCATTTGATTGACAATTAGCAAATTAATGAGAAAAAGCCAGTTAATGCCATACTCAGCTTCAGGAGTGAAAGCTGTTCCTTATTTAAATTTTTTCCTTCATGAAGAAAATATATGAAATACTGGGGAAAATGTTGGGGGGGATTGCACTCTTGGGTATTCTTTGTTGTTGTTTATCTTGTTGAAAAAGGTTTTGTAGTCTGTGCTGGTTCTTTTACTGTAGATGACAGTACCACTTGGAAACATAACACTGAAGGGAACTTTGTGGGTCACGAGATCCTATCTGGTGGTGTTACAGGCAACCATGTCATATAATCCCATCCATAAATTGATCATACCCCAACAGGACAGCAGCTAGTTTTTGTCCTCACCACTCATATAGAGTGTTGTCCTGCAGCTTCGGGTTGAAACCATGTTCTGATTTCCAGCCTTAGTGTGCTCGTGACTGTTTTATAGGCGTTTCTAGGAGTACACTTTTCTTTCAGCTGTCAGAAGTGAGCTGCACACCAAGGCAAAATTTAAGAAAACACTGTCAGCTCTGTCTCATTTTTCATCTAAGACAATTAAGCTTTTTTAAGACCCATTATTCCCTGCAGCTTATCACTAAGTTTCTTGGCGTGTTGTGTTCTGCACGTACTAGCTGGTATGCAGCTAGTCTCTCTGGACGTTAACAGTTTCAGTCCTGCCAAAGCTTCAAATGGCACGAGATTTTCTTCCTGAAACCACTCAGCAGTCGCTTTTTTCTTTCTCCCCAGATAGGGCAGGATCTCCTAACAATGTTTTAAGTGGTTTGCATGTTCCTTCCTCACAGCTGCTTGTGGGACAGAGCATAGCAGTGCACACTGCACCATGTTGATCCTGCTTTGAGCGCATATCTGCTGGGTTATCTATTTCCTCTCCTATTTTTCCAAAACGGATAAAAACAAATGCATCTTGGCAAGTTGCTATGTACATACGCACAAACACATTAAAGGACTTCTTTGTGGCGCTGTATTACTTGCTGTTGATGAAGGTGACTGCACTGCTAACTCATTACTTTCTAACTAGAGGTCAAGAGCTTAAATGAAGTTGTGTGTAGCAGAAATACACTTGTTCATGGTGTATATGATTTATGAATTGGAGACATGTCAGGTCCTAACCAGAAACAATTCGTTCTAGCTGATCCCAAAACTGTAACTGATTGTTCTGATACAAAGAAAGCCTCAACTGTGAATGCATTAAGATTGACTCTCATGGTACTTAGCATGGATTTTTTTTTTTTTTTCCTTACAATAGTTATTATAGAGTATGCAGTCTTTGCTGGAGGTAATACATGGGTTTAATTTGCAGGAAACTTGGGGACAGTGACTTCTAGATAGAAATTTCTGATTGCAAAAATGTTTTTCATCCACAAGAGAAGTAGGAGTTGAGTACAGCGGAAATTTTGGACCATACACTATGAAAAAAACCAAATATAAAATCTGTGGTCACAACTCAGTGATATTGTAACATTAAAAAAAATTCTTTGGCATTTGCATCTGATGTTAGTGCTAAACCAAGAATTCTTAAAAATGAAATCTGCATCTTCACTGAAATATGTAGTTCAGCTAATTGAAGGAGAGTTACACTACTGTACACTTGCTAGCACAGTAATTTTATTTTGAAACTTTAAAGGAAATTAAGCATGGCAGAATATCTTTTACATACCAATATAGTAAGAAAGAATAAATCTGCAACCTGTTTTTCAGTGGTTACACTTTAGGTTCCTCACTTAAACATCTCCTAAATAAATTGGTATGTGACTTATTAGTTGTTACCTGTAAGTACTCAGTTTGTTATTTGCCATTTTATATTTCTTATTTTTTTATGCACAGGATGTGAATGAAGATCCTGGAGAAGATGTTGCACTTCTCTCCGTTAGTTTTGAGGATGCAGAAGCTACGCAGGTTTTTCCTAAGCTGTATCTCTCCCCACGTATTGAACAGTGAGTGAGACTGGGTTTTTTTTCTGGTGTGTTCATTCTGCTTCGTCTCTGAACTTTTCAGTTTTTTCCTGATATATGTGAAAAATGTTGGCTAGGTGATAACATGCTAATGCTTTATATTGCTTGAAGTCATAGTGATTACTGCAAGTGTGTGTGTGGTGGAGAAATGACAGATATTCTTTTGGCTAGTTCTTTATCTATGGCTGCACCACATATGGATGAAGAAAAGTCATCACTGGCTACAGGTGATATTCTTGTAGCATCATAAACTATGAAAACTGTGCTGTGTTTTCCTATAGCAGTACATTTTGAGTGCCTCCTACAGCACAGCATGCTGATAGCTTTTTTGTGGGGGAACCTTTAATTTCTTTTTCTTTTGGGAAGGTAAGTTCTCTGTATAAACACGATACATTTTAATAAAGTCTTGTAGAAGCTAAAGGGCTTTATTAACTGTCTTTTAGGAATTTACAGCTTTAGTAAGTTACTTTTTTCAGGAGAATATGTGAATATTTCATTTTAAGATTGTTGAACCTTACTGATCTGTTTACCAGTTGGCAAAGATTTGCTGAGAAATTAGTTTCTACTCCTGAAATGGAAGGGTGAGGTTTAGAAATCAGTCTGCTTTCATTAAATTTCTCTTTTTCTATTTCTGGAATTAAAAATTGTCTTAATGCTTCTCCTTTCCTTCAGTATCTCAGTCTTGTAATGTCTGCTTCAAAAAAGTAACTACATTAGACTGTTTCAGGTATACAACAGTCAAACTGGTCTAGCATTGTTTCAGTGATGCTGTGTTTTTCTGGCTAATACTGCAGTGCCTTTCCTCCGAACTGGTGATGATGCTTCTGGGTAAAGAAGAAAAGATGGGAAATACTGACTGCCACAGTTTTATAACAATTCAGTGATAAAGTTTGTGAGTGAAGGAACACGGTATCTTGATATGGTCAACAGGGCATTGGTCTGGATAAACTATTGCATGTGATTTAAAAAAACAAAAACCAAGATTTCATTTAGATAAAGGCATAAGACTTCCCAGATATTTTATTTAAAAAAATGTAGGTTACACATGCGCATGCAAGCACACATACAATGTATTTAGCAGCTTTTACATTTTCATATTTTTTATCAAGTCACTACTTTTTTGTCAACATTGACTGAGGGAATAATTATAGTCAAACATGTAATTATCCTTCCATTTCCAAAGGATTCTTTTGCTCAGCTGCTGTTAAAAGCAAATGGGCTGTCACTAGCTTCCATTGTATTTTCAGCTCTAGTCACACATTGATTCTTAAGTGTATTTCAGGCTACCCAGGTGTGTCTGTCTAAATGACCCATGTGCTAATGAATACATTGCTTTTTTTCCCCGCTTTCAATAGTATCTTTAGAAAGATGGTAACTTCTTGATACCAAGCAGAATGAAAATACAAAGGAACACTTTGTCTTCCTGAACATATTGCATTTTCTGTCAGTGCCCTAAAGAATATCTGATTTTAGATGTGTGATGTAAAGCAATATAGCAGAAAGATATTTAAGCAGTGTTAGTACATACCCGACACGTCTGATGTATTTATGGCCTTGTCATTTGTAGCTTATGTAGTCATGTTAAAATCATGCCAGTAAACCCTGGAGTTCCATGCCACACCTTGTCACGTTATCTGCGTATCAAAGTTGAGATACTTCACTCACCTAACTCAATCTGTCCTCGTGCATTTGTAAGTATCTACGTACTGGTAACCCATAATACCAGAGTCGCTTGTGAGCTGTTGCACCTTCCTTTATTCTACTGGATACTTTTTAAGTGCCATGAAAAAGTGTATGGGTATATTTTCGATGTTTGTTCAATTGCACTTTAATAACAAAGATATAGTTGTCTCTTGTTCTTTCCCCAAAGCAATGTCTGCTCTGTTTAGCCGGGGCTGACAGTCTAGATATTTAACTTTCCAATGTTTGGGAACTGAAGCAACAATGCGTACTACTTTATACTTTTTGCCAAAAGTACAAAAAGCCTCAAGAAGCCCTGAGGATTAGTTTAATGACTTGAGGCCATGGCATGTTACATTTGAATTGTGTTCTGCTTATAAAAGTTCTTTCCTGCTGTTAACAGTAATTGCATCTACAAAAGCCATGTAAGCAAATTACCAGTGTATTTTTTTTATGCAGCAGATTTTGAGGTGGAGTAAGTAGTAGTTGACAGTTCCCAACATAACATTCCCAAGTACTCAACCAAACAGGAAAAATACCAAATTCCCACAATTATTTTGCTAATACTAAACTCTGTTCACCTTAGGAAGAACGAGCAAAGAGGAGTAGCATTTTCCTGACATATGAAAAAACATTTTCAGATAGAAATGTTTCAACTTTGTAGAGAAATAAGAGCAAAGGGCTTGTTTGTGTAACGTGAGTTATCTCCTGCTTTCCCAAGAGGTTTCATTGCTTTTCTGCTCCACCATATAAACATGCATTCCCACATTGCAATTTCTAAAAATGATACATACCCACAGATCTTGTCAGCAAATTTGAGCCCTAGCAATATGAATATAGTGTTTTTGCTTTGAAGGGTTATTGTAAAGCACATTTGCTCTATTTTTAGATGGGTGGTAAACATAATACTAATAAGACTTTGACTGCTCTTTGTCATAGACGCTGGAAGAGAGGTTTGCAAAATGAGGAAAATGTCCACTTTTTATGGTTTGGGGCTAAGACATTAGTACATCGGTTGGCTTGAAAAAGTTCATGTATTAAAGCAAGGGGTAAAAATGCGATAGAGAAGTATTGTGGCTCATTCAAGTCAGTATTGGTGTTCCATTGACGATGCATGGTGTGGTGTCGTGTCTGGCTGCAAGAGTGTCAAGTCCAGTTCTTACAGTAAAAAAACCAACCCCACACTTGGGGATGGGAAGCATTTGTGTTAGTTTATAAAAATCTCAGCAATAATTATTCATAATTATACCTGATTTAATTCTTTCATTGAAACTTGTTAATTTAGAAACATTTCTTTAAATACTAATTGTTCAAAACACATTAACAGCAATTTCTAGTTAATGCTTCCTTAATTTGAAATCAGTCACTTAAAAAAGCTTTCATTTTATGATTTTAAGAATTCTTCTTAATTCCTTATTGCACTGCATCAATAAGCACATAGATGCCAATAACAGTTGCTTTTAATGATTTCAAAAATTAGATTAAGTTAAAATGAAAACATGGGGTATTTATCATATGTGTTTTGTTTTAAAACTACCATCATAACTGTATTATCATAAAAATAAGTTTCTGCACACTTTTGGAGGAAGTGGTAAGCTGGAAACCCCACAGACTGACCACCCAACTTGAGAGGATGGTGCTTATCAGCATCCCCGAGTGTGTGTCTCCAGCTCGTCCTGCTCCTCCTCCCAGCTCGGGACGTGGGACTGGCCACAGGATGCTCTTCATCCCCCGCTGATGGCTGCTGTGCTTTGGTTTGAGAGTCAGAGCGCTAAGCAGTGTCAGTACCTAAGGCCCTTCTCACTTGCTAATCTACCTGACCTCCTCTTCCTCCTGCTAGGTAGGCACAGATGTATTCTGAGGCTGCTTCTGCACTCCTCTGCACAACGAGATATTTACCCTTTATGTCTCTGTTGCATTTCCATGCGTTGTTCATAATGTCTCTAAACCTGTCGGTAGTAAACATCTTGCTTGCTCAAAATTATCTTTCTAATGAAAGTATACTCAATGTTCATATGGAAAGGAAAATTGTAATAAAAATATCCATTGTATCTTTGGTTTCCATGTATTAAAAGTCACTAGACTCTAAATCCAAGGAGTCAGTGCGGGATTGAACAGCTCATTTCTATACTGATGCTTAAAATGTGTGTCAGGGTACTACACATGAATGTAAATCAGAAGCGTTGGGTTTTTTTTTTTAAAAAAAAAAAAAAAGAAAAATTTAATGTATGTAGTATTTTTTTCCTTCATGAGTCGTCCGTGCTATATAAGAAAAAAATGAGTTCGTCTTGGTTCACATTTAAAAAAAAAAAAGATTTAAGGGTAGAAACACTGCTGCTTAGTGATTGCTGTGTTCCCTGGATTCACAGAAATAATCCTGCAATAAACACTGTTGTCCTGGAGGGCTTTTCTCTGATAAATACGCGGACGTGAATATGCTAGGAAAACCAGCTGTCAGTAGAACTTGTTTTGCTTAAATGGATCAGGCTCCATGCTTTGGGGACTGAAATGGCCTTTTTTTACTGGTCTGGGAGCTGTGCCAGAGGGTTCTTCGTGACTGAGGGTGGTATGCAGAGTTCGGTGACTGCATTTAACCTTCTCATATGGGCAGGGGAGAATAACAAGAACCTGGTCTGAACTCTTAGACTTTGAATGTTTCTGTATGTTTTTCACTGATTGGAAAAAAAAAAATAGAAGAGAAAATTAAACATGTGTATCTGCTTCAAGGTGTTTCCTGTCTTTTACCTGTCCTTTCTGCTGGGAGTTGGAGGAGGAAAGCCATAGAATATTATCCATTTACTGCCAGGTATTGACTCTGGCTACATTTGAGGTGCTGTGAAGGGCTTCACCCTTAAAGTTGGCATGCCATACTGCTGAACGCACATCACCGGTTGAAGCCTACAGTTTCAGAATGATTATGAATACACAGTCTCTAAATGAGTGGTGATGTTTAGGCCATTTTGTATGTCTTTGTAGAAGGCAGAAGTAAGAAGGTCTCCTATTTGGCATGTTAAAACTTGCTTATTCATCTGAGTTGATGATTTTGGTAGAATTGTTAGTAGACAACCAAGACAGTCCATGACTTCTTCAAATCCCAGAGCGTCTTTGCAGACATGGGAAGCAGGAAGGACTGTTGCTTTGCAGGGCTTTCTCTTCCATTAAGCCTAGTTTGGTCATGCCTCTACACAATGTCTGTCCAGTGAGTCAGTGTGCCATGTCCCCATCATCCAAATCTTCTGAAACTGTAGCCTGTACTGTAACCTGATTTTCAGTCTAGCTCTTCTTTGAAACTTTTCCTGTGT